TTTCCTCTTCCTGGTTGTCTTTCAGTCATCAAGGAAGTTTTTTCCCTTCACATTCTTTGGCTCCATCACCTGGATCGCTGTATTCTCTTACTTGATGGTCTGGTGGGCACATCAGGTAAGACTTTTATATTGACATCCACCTACCTGATTCTTCTCTGTCTTGATTGACAAGTGGTTGACCAGTGTATTTGCTTTCTGAAAGTGTCACAACAATCCTGGGTGTGATACAGACAGGTTACATATTCCAAGATGAAAGGAATTAACTCCACTTAACTTCTCCCAGTCTCCCAGGCTTTGCCTACAGAGTCAAATGGGCATAATCCCCGGACAGCCCTAGAGGAAGGTAACCCTAATCACCCCTTGCCCTCCGTAACCTGAAGCTAGGCATTCCAGGCCTGGGAGGAATGTCAAGATTTTGCCTGACTCAGCTACATTTAAATTTATCTTGAGCAGTCAGTCACTCTTTACTCTCACCAGTCTTTTAAAACTGGCTCTTAAGAGCTAGAGACAAAATGGCTTCTTCCTTGAGCTTTAGTGTATAAAAATGATGATGTATTTAATTTTTCTCACTTTTAACATAACACCAATCATAATGCCTATCCTATCATAAGACTATATCTCAGTAATTCTTACTGAAAAACATGAATGAAAGAATGAGATACAGAGGTCTCACATTCACAAAGAATAGTGGTAACCAATATTAATTGTGTACTAGGGCCAGATAATTCACATCCCTTTGTCTTTATAATCTTAACAATAACCCTGTACATATTAATAGATCAACTTCTATAATAGAGGTACCATTATTATCTAGAGTTTACAGACAAAGGAGTTAAGCTTAAAACTGTTAATAAAGTTTCCCAAGACCACATAGGTAGTAAAACTGAGATTCTAACCCAGAATTCTAAGTCTGACCACATGCTTTTAATCTCTACTATAGACTACTGAAATCCTAATTTGTATTCCTTTTTTATTTTTTTATGAGAGATTTTTGCTATATAGCACACATGCACTCACTGGAGAGACAGAGGAATGTGGAGAGATAGAAAGTGAGAAATCACCCCGTAGGGGGATGGCCATGTCACAATCCCTTCTCCTCCATTCTCCTTCCAGGTTCTTGGGCATGTATGCACATGTGTCCAGCATGAGTTTCAAGCCTCCAGGTTCAAGACTTGAACCTCAGTCAACCATGTGGGAATCCAGCAACATAACTGTTATGCCATCTGCTGGTCCCCGTATCCTTATTTTTATTTTCTTTTTTTAGAGTTGTTTTTGGTTTTGTTTTTGTTTTTTTGCTATAGGGTGTGTGCACTTGCCAGAAAGAGAGAAACAGAGAGATAGAAAGCAAGAAATCACCCCTCAGGGGGGAGGGCCACACCGCAATCCCTTCTCTTCCGTTCTCCTCTCAGGATCCTGGGCACGCACGCACATGTGCCCTGCATGAGTTTAAGCCACAGGGTCTGGACTTGAACCACGGTCACCCACATGGGAGTTCAGCAACATAGCCATTATGCTAACTGCTGGTCCCAAACCCGTATCCTTACTTTAATATACTCCTAAAATTATTATACTTATTACCATAAACTATAACAATTTGAAATTTAAAAATATATCCCAATTATATATGTGGATATCCTTTTTAACAAATGATGCTGGAATCATTTTACAATTTGAAATTTAAAAATATATCCCAATTACATATGTGGATATCCTTTTTAACAAATGATACTGGAATCATTGGATTAGATAAGTTAATTTAGATCCTCTCCAAATCATTGGAGTTTTAAGTACCAAAATAAGTTAATTTAGATCCATACCATACTAAAATATAAATCTTACATTTAGCTCTAAATATAAGAGCTAAAACTATCAAACTGTTGGGGCAAATATAGAATATCTACATGACCATAGGTCAGGCAAAGAGTTCTTCTTTGCTATACCAAAGCATGATCCATAAAGGAAAAAAATTGATAAATTTTATCAAAATTAAAACTTTTGCTCTTCAAAAAACACCATTAAAAAATAATGTGAAAACCCACAGACTGGGAGAAAATATTTGCAACCTATATAATCTACCAAATAAAAATACTTGTATCTGGGACCAGTAGGTAGTGTGGTGGTTAAGGCACTGGACTTCTACATGGTAACCGCAGTTCAAGTCCCAGACCTGAAAGATTTTTCTCTCTCTCTCTCCCTCTCTCTCTCTCTCTCTCTCTCTCTCTCTGTCTCTATCTATCTCTATCTGGTGTGAGCATGTGCCCTGTAGCAAATTAAAAATAATAATAATGATGAAAAATAAAATTTAAAAAACACTTCTATCCAAGATATAAGTGCTTAAAGCTTAATAATAAGAAGGCATGTATTCTTATTTTTAAGATTTGACTAAATATTTTACCAAGAGATAAGAAAATAGCTAGAAGCCCAAGAAATTATGCTCAACATCATTATTAATTAGAGAAATGTAAATCAAAACTGTAACGAGATACCACTTTACTCCCTCTAGCATGAATACAATGAAAAAGGCACAAAATAACCTGTGTTGGCAAGAACACATACAAATTCAAATCCTTATATACTGCTGATAAGGACGTAAATAGAATAGCCACTTTGGGAAACAGTTTGGTCATTTCACAAAACATTAACATATGATTCAATAATTTCACTCTTTGATAATGTCTAAGAGAAATGAAAACATGTCCACAAAAATTTGTATGTGAATGTTCATAATAGCATTATTCATAATTGCCCAAAAAGTGGAAACAACCCAATGTCCGTTAAAGGATGAATGGATAAGCAAAATATCTGTATATCTGTACAACAGAATATTATTCCACAATAAAAAGAAATGAAGTATTGAAAGATACTACAACATGAATGTAATTCTAAAATACTATGCCAAGTCAAAAAAGCCAATAGCGGGAACCAACAGTTGGCGTAATGGCTATGTCACTAGACTCCCATGTAGTTGACTGCAGTTCGAGTCCCGGACCCAGTGGCTTAAACTCACACTGGGCGTGTGAATGCCTATCCTATCATAAGACTATATCTCAGTAATTCTTACTGAAAAACATGAATGAAAGAATGAGATACAGAGGTCTCACATTCACAAAGAATAGTGGTAACCAATATTAATTGTGTACTAGGGCCAGATAATTCACATCCCTTTGTCTTTATAATCTTAACAATAACCCTGTACATATTAATAGATCAACTTCTATAATAGAGGTACCATTATTATCTAGAGTTTACAGACAAAGGAGTTAAGCTTAAAACTGTTAATAAAGTTTCCCAAGACCACATAGGTAGTAAAACTGAGATTCTAACCCAGAATTCTAAGTCTGACCACATGCTTTTAATCTCTACTATAGACTACTGAAATCCTAATTTGTATTCCTTTTTTATTTTTTTATGAGAGATTTTTGCTATATAGCACACATGCACTCACTGGAGAGACAGAGGAATGTGGAGAGATAGAAAGTGAGAAATCACCCCGTAGGGGGATGGCCATGTCACAATCCCTTCTCCTCCATTCTCCTTCCAGGTTCTTGGGCATGTATGCACATGTGTCCAGCATGAGTTTCAAGCCTCCAGGTTCAAGACTTGAACCTCAGTCAACCATGTGGGAATCCAGCAACATAACTGTTATGCCATCTGCTGGTCCCCATATCCTTATTTTTATTTTCTTTTTTAGAGTTGTTTTTGTTTTTGTTTTTGTTTTTGTTTTTTTGCTATAGGGTGTGTGCACTTGCCAGAAAGAGAGAAACAGAGAGATAGAAAGCAAGAAATCACCCCTCAGGGGGGGAGGGCCACACCGCAATCCCTTCTCTTCCGTTCTCCTCTCAGGATCCTGGGCACGCACGCACATGTGCCCTGCATGAGTTTAAGCCACAGGGTCTGGACTTGAACCACGGTCAACCACATGGGAGTTCAGCAACATAGCCATTATGCTAACTGCTGGTCCCAAACCCGTATCCTTACTTTAATATACTCCTAAAATTATTATACTTATTACCATAAACTATAACAATTTGAAATTTAAAAATATATCCCAATTACATATGTGGATATCCTTTTTAACAAATGATACTGGAATCATTGGATTAGATAAGTTAATTTAGATCCTCTCCAAATCATTGGAGTTTTAAGTACCAAAATAAGTTAATTTAGATCCATACCATACTAAAATATAAATCTTACATTTAGCTCTAAATATAAGAGCTAAAACTATCAAACTGTTGGGGCAAATATAGAATATCTACATGACCATAGGTCAGGCAAAGAGTTCTTCTTTGCTATACCAAAGCATGATCCATAAAGGAAAAAAATTGATAAATTTTATCAAAATTAAAACTTTTGCTCTTCAAAAAACACCATTAAAAAATAATGTGAAAACCCACAGACTGGGAGAAAATATTTGCAACCTATATAATCTACCAAATAAAAATACTTGTATCTGGGACCAGTAGGTAGTGTGGTGGTTAAGGCACTGGACTTCTACATGGTAACCGCAGTTCAAGTCCCAGACCTGAAAGATTGCTTTCTCACTTTCTCTCCCTCTCTCTCTCTCTCTCTCTCTCTCTCTCTGTCTCTATCTATCTCTATCTGGTGTGAGCATGTGCCCTGTAGCAAATTAAAAATAATAATAATGATGAAAAATAAAATTTAAAAAACACTTCTATCCAAGATATAAGTGCTTAAAGCTTAATAATAAGAAGGCATGTATTCTTATTTTTAAGATTTGACTAAATATTTTACCAAGAGATAAGAAAATAGCTAGAAGCCCAAGAAATTATGCTCAACATCATTATTAATTAGAGAAATGTAAATCAAAACTGTAACGAGATACCACTTTACTCCCTCTAGCATGAATACAATGAAAAAGGCACAAAATAACCTGTGTTGGCAAGAACACATACAAATTCAAATCCTTATATACTGCTGATAAGGACGTAAATAGAATAGCCACTTTGGGAAACAGTTTGGTCATTTCACAAAACATTAACATATGATTCAATAATTTCACTCTTTGATAATGTCTAAGAGAAATGAAAACATGTCCACAAAAATTTGTATGTGAATGTTCATAATAGCATTATTCATAATTGCCCAAAAAGT